AAATTGATTAAAATGGCAAATATAAATATTTTACCTCATCGGATAGATTTTGACCGCTTCGAATGTTCTCCCTTGCTTTTGTCAAGGCATTTCTCCATTTCCCTAACTCTTTATTCAGTATTTTCCATCTACTAGACAAGGCCATTTTGGTCCGAATGGAACTCGATCTTTGACAAAATTCTCCATGAATTTTGCTCCACATATGATGGAACTTCATCTCATTACCCGTGATAGGGTCATGACTAACGTTCACCCAAGATTGACACAACGCAATATCTTCCTGAGTTGCCCACGAGCCTCCGGCTTCGACAGAAGATGCCATTTGTTTTTTTTTATACAAATGGAAAGTAGTAGAAAAATGTGAGTTGAGAGTAAAAAATATTGGAAGGAGAAGAGTTTGTATGGAGAATTGGTGTGGAAAGTGAAAAATGTGAGTGGAGAGGAAAAAATATTGGAAGGATAAGAGTTTGTATTGAGAATTGGTGTGGGAAGTGAATAATATGAGTGGAGAGTAAAAAATATTGGATGGAGAAGAAATTGTATGAAGATTTGGTGTGAAAAGTAAATAAAATGGTTAGGAATTTATAGGGAAAAAATACAGAATTTTTTTTTAAAAATTTCAGAATTTTTTCGATATTTTTTGCAATTTTTTTGGACAAAAAAACGAGGACCGTCGGATTTCTGGAAAAAAAAGATCGGAGCGTCCCGGTTGCGACACGTGTCACATAGCCGTTGGAGTCTGACAGGGCTGACGTCAGCGCGCGGAAGTCAAATTTTTTTACCGTTGGCGCGTGTAATTCACGCGCCAACAGTAAAAAAAAAATTGATTTTCCTTGCGCTGACGTCAGCGTGACGCCAGCGCTGACGTCAGAAGACTCGGGCTGAAGCCCAGGCTAAACTTGCCCTTGGGCTTGCCAGGGCTGGTGGGACCCACGCCAAACCGGGCCAAGGGCTGCTGCGCTGGAGTGACTTGGGCTGTCTCGGGGGGCTTTTTGCCTGGCTTTGTTGTGCGCGCTGGGGATGCTCTAATGGGTATGGGGGTTGGGGTTCTGTGGGAGTGGGGTAGAAGAAACAGAGGGAGGGTTGTTGTTTTGATTTTTGGGATGGGAGGCATGAAATTTGAAAGCTAATTAATGGGTATGGGGGCTGGGGTTTTTGTGGGAGTAGGGTAGAAAAAACCAGAGGGAGGGGGAGATGTAAGAAATCAGTGGGGGTGTGGGGAGCAGTGGGTTTTTGGGTTCTGCTAAGGGAGAGTGGGTTTTCGGGGGAGGGGGGGCGATGGGTTTTTGGGTTCTGCGCAAGGAGGGGGAGCTTTGGGTTTTTGGTGCGTGGGGGGGTTACGAGGACAGAGAAAGAAAGGGAGGACTTGGTGCAATTGGGGGAGAAGGGATGGGTTGGTTTTTTTTTTTTTTTTCCTTTCTAAAATCTATTTAATTTTTAATTTTATGTTTGTAGTCTAATTTTTTTAAGTAATTAATTAAAAAACCTAGGTGCACAAAATTACTAAAATACCTCTACCATGTCATCAAACTTAACGGACTTTTAGATGGAGTTAACAGTAGGGGCAATGTGGAACATCAAACCTTGATCAAGGGGGCAAAGTGGGTCACTTTAACTTTCAAGAGGTAATTGGGCTAACAATATTTCAAGGGGCACTGTAGCACTTAAGCCTTATTGTAATTGGGCTAACAATGTTGAAAAAATGAAAAATATAAGAGAATTGGACTTAGACCCAAATTTGCCGAATCAAACCGTCTTAAATTGATTTGGTTTAGTTCAATTTTCTCCATAATTGTTGTCAAAATCAAATCAAATCAAACCATTATATTATAATTAATTCAACTGTAATTTTGAGGTAAAACCGATTCAATCCGATTTCCTCTCAAAATCAATTATCGGTTTCACCTCAAAATCAAAGTCATTGGACCGTACCCGCCCAACAATTACTCTTTTTTCGAACAACTTTACCCATTATAAACAAGTTACCAAAAGTGCATTTTTAAAGGAGGTGGGGCCCGTGGTGGGCTTTTCGCGAATCGTGATCGGATGGATAGGACACAGCTACGATATCGATATTGATTCGAGACCGGGCTTTTTTAACCCCAGTTAAGTCAATATTTTTACCACGGTTAATTCACCTACCAACTTTCTCTATTTAACTAACCCCCATTTCACACTCTTCGTACCCAGCGCTTACTCTTCGTCTTCCTCTCTCCCACTCTCTGAAAAACCGTTTTCACTTCTCTGCAAAATCCCAAAGGGTCTCGCATTCCAGCTCTGCGACGCCAAAATGTCACTCGAATACCACCTCTTGTTCACACCCAGGATGGTTCTTCAATCATCCTTTCTGGGCTTTGAGGCATTTGCTTGTTTGTTTCTGTTCATGGCCGTCTTTGGTTTCTGGCTCTTACCTGGTGGCCTTGCTTGGGCTTTTTGCAAGGTCCGGGCTTTCAAAGCGATTCCGGGTCCATCCGGTTACCCACTTATCGGGTCACTCACTGTTTTCACTGGTTCTACGCGTCACCGAGTGCTTGCTAAGATGGCTAAGAGCCTCAAGGCCGAGGCTTTGATGTCTTTCTCCGTGGGCCTAACTCGGTTTGTCATCTCAAGCCAGCCAGAGACTGCTAAAGAAATTTTGAACAGCTCCGCTTTTGCCAATAGGCCTGCAAATGAGACGGCCTACGAGCTTTTGTTTTACAGAGCAATGGGGTTTGCGCCGTACGGAGAGTACTGGAGGAATTTGAGAAGGATAGCAGCAACCCATTTGTTTAGTCCTAAGAGAATGGCTGCCTCTGAAGTTTTTAGACGTGAAGTGGGGTTGAAAATGGCTGAGGAGATTAGGAGTTTGATGGTTGAGAAAGGTGAGCTTCAGATGAAAAACGTGCTTCATTTTGGGTCTTTGAACAACGTGATGATGACTGTGTTTGGGCGCTGCTATGAGTTTGGGGAAGGCGGCGAAGGGCATGAGCTTGAGAAGCTGGTCAGGGAAGGGTATGAGCTGCTTGGTTTATTCAACTGGAACAACCATTTTCCATTTCTGGGTTGGTTGGATTTGCAGGGTGTGAGGAAGAGGTGCAGAATTTTGGTCTCAAAAGTGAATGCTTTTGTCGGAAAAATCATTGAAGAGCATAGGCTGAAGAAGGTCAAAGGTGACAACTTTGACACCGACTGCAGTGGGGATTTTGTTGATGTTTTGCTTGCTATGGAAAATGATCACAAACTCGGTGACTCTGACATGATCGCCGTGCTTTGGGTACTAATTTGTTCATATTTGCACTCTCATTTTTCGTGAATTTAGTGTAATTCTAAAAAAAAAAAATTAATGTTCCATATTTTACAGGAGATGATCTTCCGAGGAACTGACACAGTAGCTACTCTGCTGGAATGGGTTCTTGCAAGAATGGTTTTGCACCCAGAAATACAAGCCAAAGCCCAAAGTGAAATCGACTCTGTGGTTGGCGCCTCAAGGCCTGTTTTAGGTTCTGATGTCCCTAAACTGCCCTACCTCCAAGCCATTGTGAAAGAGTGTCTGAGGGTGCACCCACCAGGGCCTTTGCTCTCATGGGCTCGCATTGCAATCCATGATGTTTATGTCGGTGAAAACTTCATCCCAGCAAGAACAACAGCCATGGTGAACATGTGGGCAATAACTCATGATGAAAAGGTCTGGTCTGAGCCAAAATTGTTTAGGCCCGAGCGTTTCATGGAAGAGGAAGTGAGCATCATGGGCACTGACCTGAGGCTGGCTCCCTTTGGTTCTGGGAGGAGGGTGTGCCCTGGAAGAGCCTTGGGATTGGCTTCTGTTCAACTCTGGCTGGCTCAGTTGCTTCAGAACTTCAATTGGGTTCCTTCTGAGAAAAGTGATGTGGATTTGTCCGAGTGTTTGAAACTGTCTATGGAGATGAAGAGCCCACTGGTTTGCAGGGCGGTTCCTAGGTTTGTTTGATGATACTTTTCATTTTATGTAGGGCTGGTGCTGTGTTTGTTTATTTATTGTAAAATTAATGTGGACCCTGTTATGGTGAGTAGACTTAAATTAGGTTTGTGCAAGTTGGAGAAAATGGTCTCCTGGGTGTGCAAGTTTTGGGTATGTAGCTGGTCTCATGCACTGCACACAAGTTTGGGTTTTCCTGATGTGCAGAAAATGTAGCAGCTGCTTCTGATGCATTAAGTTACTTTCGTCTGGTTTTATGTAATGCATGGGCATCTTATGTTGTGAAATAAAAGTTAATTAATGATGTGTGTATATTATATTTATCAGAAAGACATTTGCTTGAAATTTGGTTAACTATTTAAAATTTTCCTGCATGCATGCAACCAGATTTCAATTAGTCCTACTTGAGATCTTCATGAAATGATTGATGAATGAGTAAGCATAAGCAAAACCCTCAAGACACTTCTGGTTTTGGTAGAGTATATGAGTCGGCTGTATTTTTGAGATTCATATTCCTTTTGAATTAAGATAGAGAGAATATTATCATCATCATCATCATCATCATCTATGGTGGAGCAGAGCTAAAAAGCGATAGATATGTGTGTATTGTGAAGCCAGCTTGTGTAAAGCAGATGCAACAGCGATTTGGATATCCCTGCCAAGCCTTTTTTGCTTGCTTTCATAGATTCACTGATTCTCATCACTTTTCACGTATACCTTTGCCATTGGCAACTATTGGTTAACCGTTTTGAGACTATACATTTACAGTTTAAACTCTAAATAATGATTCTACGCAGACGTGACATTTTTATATCGCTTCTTTTCTTTGAGAAATATGAGACGTCATTTATAGGAGAAAGAAACACTTGTATGAAACGGGGATAACACTGTTTTGCTATTCCAACTAATCACGGCATGTCATGCATGCGTGATAACTTTTCAACGTCACAGTTAGTAATTGATTGAGAATAACAAAACAATATTATTTCCATTTCACACAAGTTTTCTGAGAATAACTATTTGTGCTTAACTTATTAAACGAATGGCACAATTAGGTTGTCTCTAGGCTTCTGCGTTGGCTAGAATTGAGTCTTGACGATCAAACCGACTAGCTATGTATTGCAAAAGCTGTTGTGAATGGAGATCATTTCATAGGTTGCAGCAGCATATCGTATATCTAGGAAGGGGCATAAATGAGGCAGTGGCCCCCCTTGGTCAGTGACGCCTTGACGCCTTGTGCCGAAAGCCAAAAGCTTACCTTCCCCCGACAGATTAATATTGCAAATATTGCAAAATATCAAAGAGGATCGAAGTAAAGATCTAAATATCAAAACAGATCATATCAACAACAGATAGTCATTGTGCAAGTGAGTCGGTAATCGTATCAACACTACTAGTCCATTCACTTGATCATCTATTAAGCTCCCTCTAAATAATGGGATCACAATTCAACTACATTGTGTGATTAATCTTTACCCTAGTGCAGAAGTGTGGATTCTTATTGTAAAAAATCATTAATATATATGAACTACGATTGCATTCGCGTGAAGTACAAATTTTTGCTGTAGGAATCGCATTCCTCCAACTTTATTGTATATAACAAAGATGTGTGGAATAATGCTTGTCTTTTATTGCATACACTGTCCTAATCAACTCGTCGAATCATATCTATCATACTTTAATTGAGTAAAAGTTTAATCTTTCCATGTTTGGAAAATGACTGGATGTGGAGAACAAATTTATAGGGAGATTAGATAAGGATATTCCCTGGCATGGCTGCCCATTTTTTTTTATAATTTTTTTTTCTTTTTCAAAAGAAAAAGTTCCAAGTGTATTAAGGGGCAAAGTTGGTAGTTCGTAATTTTTATGGGTGCCTTGGTGCAGTGAGCAGATGGCTGGGTGAATATAGAGCGACTCAGTTCCTGGTTGCGAATACAAAGGCCCGTTGCAGAGACACGAGCTTTGTTTTATTAAGAAGGAAAAAAACATATTGGGCTCAAACCGCAAATACTAATAGATGTGAGCCCAAAAACCTAAAAGCCCAAAATCACAAAAACAGTATCATCGTGCTCAACAGCTGGTTCCAATAAGGCAGAGAGAGTTGCACCCACTCCAATCCCAGCCATGGCCTTCTCCATCAGCTAACGCACACACTCCCCGCCCTCTCTCTGTCACACCCAATCAGAAATGGATCCGATGCCCAATACCCGCCGGACCCGAAAAATCCCACCTAAACCCGAACTCTACTCCACCGTTGTCATCCACGAAGATGACGACTCCAACTCCGAATCCGATCGAGACCAAAGGCAGCGGCGGAGCAAGCCCAAGAGCTCCGACCCGGAACCCGACCTCTACGCCACAATGGTCTACAAGGGCAATGCTCGAGACGACGAAGACGAAGACGAAGACGACGACGCTTCACTCCCTCCGCTCCTCAAACGCCTTCCCAAAGACTTCGGCGGCGGAGCCTCAATCGATTACTTCGACGACGAGGAGGACGAAAATGGCGGCGATTTTGGCACTATGATCATCAAGCCCGATCGCAATCGGACCACGAGGAGGTCACGTGACTTCAAGCGAGGCTCCATCGACGATGACGGAGATGGCGATGGGTTCTCCACTTTTGTGGTCAGGTCGTCGAGCGAGAGAGAGTCGGTAAGTGGGACCGTGGTGAGGAGGACGAGCGGCGGCGCTGGTTCGACGATGAGTAGGGCGGTGGCAAGCATGCAGGCCTCGTCGGAGTTAGGGTTTGGGAAGCAGAGGAGGGGCAGTGGATCCTCGCAAGGCGAAGAGTATCGCCAAACCACTAAAATGTCGTCGAGTTCCATACCCGATAGCGTTACCAGAGAAGACCCCACTGTAAAGTACGAGTTGCTCAATGAACTTGGTGGGTTCTTGTACTTCAACTTCAATGTGTTTCAGCTTCTCCTTCATTTCTTCCTGAATGGAATTTTGCTTAGAGCGGTTTTTTTCCTTTCCTTTTATTTTTTGTGGTATTGGGAATGCCAGGGAAGGGGTCTTATGGCGCGGTTTATAAAGCTAGGGATATAAAGACTTCGGAGCTCGTGGCGATCAAAGTCATTTCCTTGTCTCAAGGGGTCTGTTTCTGTTATCTTCTTCGGGTTCTTATGCATTTGATTGGTTACTTTGTTTGGAGTTTGATTTTGATTTGTTTTTAGGAGGAGGGGTATGAAGAAATATGTGGTGAAATTGAGATGCTGCAGCAATGCAATCACCCTAATGTTGTTCGGTACCTGGGGAGCTACCAAGGAGAAGAGTATCTTTGGGTAATGGATAGCATTTGCTTTGGTTAATGGTGAAATTGCTAAATGATAGAGCTATTGTTGGTTTCTTGTTTTGTAATTTGGGTAGTGCAAAATCTGAGACTGGAGACTGTTTTTATGCGTCTTCTTAGATTGTGATGGAGTACTGTGGTGGTGGAAGTGTTGCAGACTTGATGAATGTTACCGAGGATGCTTTGGAGGAGTACCAAATAGCCTACATTTGTAGGGAGGCATTGAAGGTATGATCAACTTTGAATGGATATTTCGATCCAAATGAAACAATTCCACCTCATTAAGGGGGTCTCCCCCCCCCTGATTTTGCATGGTTAAGTTTTGTCATGAGGAAATGCTCAATGAAGTGCCCTATAAAATGCTTCAGTCTTTATGTTATCTCAGGTCTAATATTTGGATGCAATTTAACCAACTCAAAAGTTGTGTAGTGCTGTGCCACTTTCATTCTTTGTTATTCAATTAAATATATTTTAAACTAAATTATTTTCTGTCTATTTCATATGCTGTATTTCATATGCTGTTGATTTGAACAATATTTGTTTCGTGTAGGGCCTTGCTTATTTGCACTCCATTTTCAAGGTCCACAGAGATATAAAGGGTGGTAATATTCTGTTAACTGAACAAGGAGATGTGAAGTTGGGTGAGTGCAATCATCATTTGCTTATATGTGGTGTACTCTCTAGGGAGGGACAATAAAAGGACGTTGTTGTAACACTTGAATCATGCTGATCTTTCACATCTGATGATAATCATACGTTTTCATATTCTCCATAACATTAATAGCATTATGACATCATCAAAGAGGGTGGCAAGGAGTTTCCTTGCCCTTTGATTTTTTTTTTTCAACATTTCATTTTGACAATAGAATTGGAGTATAATAAAGTGCTCTTTACTATTATTTTCAGTTTTTGTTTTGCATGTGAAGTTCATAAGTTTCTTGTACTTTTAACAACACACTGACTCAACTTTGGTGTATGACAATGTTGACAGGTGATTTTGGGGTTGCAGCACAGCTAACAAGAACCATGTCCAAGCGCAACACGGTATGTCAATTGCTTGGATAAGATCTAAATGTCATACTTGATGCAGAATTGTGTTTAGTATGACAATTTGTTTAATTGCCCCAAAATTTGCACTTGGTATACCAGAAGTTGCTAGTACTTTGTTCTAAGGTCTGATGCTTAGTATTTCTTCTGTTCTCAATAATGGGTGTCTTTCTGGGATAAATCCCTGTGTTAGCTACCAAAGTGGTTGCTGTGCGGTTGAACTTTTGACAGGATGGTTCATGAGACACGAATCCCATGTGCCCTCACCATCTCCTCAAGTCCTTAACGCTTGTTTAGGTGATTTGGTTATTTTAAATATATAATCAAGGGACTCCGCTGATTCCCTGAACTTGCTTCATTGTGATCAATAAAAAAGACAATTACGAATATTCTTTTCCTGATAGGATGGGCAGTTACAAAGCTTGATTCCAGGAATTTTTTTTAACATAATTTTATTTTACTCAGTTCATTGGCACTCCACATTGGATGGCTCCAGAAGTTATTCAGGAAAGCCGCTATGATGGAAAGGTATCTTTTGTACTCTACGCAGAATTTTATTTGTGCTATCTTGCTTCTTTCTTCTAGGACCATGTGCTGCTCTTTCTTTGGTTAACTACTTTTAGAGATAATATTATTATGGTGAAACCCATAGCAAGACTGACTTCTTGGTCTAATTTATGTCTTATTCAGGTGGATGTATGGGCTCTTGGTGTTTCTGCAATTGAAATGGCAGAGGTAATATATGTTCAGCATGTTCTTTTTGAAGGAGATATGTTCAGCATGTAAATTGTCCAATTTCGTGGAAAATTTAAGAGGTGGCTGTTTTAAGCTGCTTGTTAGTGTTTTCCTCTTTTCCTGTTTTCAGTATCTTAAGTAATTGGTTCTTTGTGACTGCTGTATAAATTGAGAATACTCGTATTAGCTCACGCTAACAAATAATTGTTTATTCCTTAGCCCCAATCGATTACTC